GGACCATAGGTGCCCGCCACAATGCCCGGCTATTTTTTGGTTGCAGCCATCACTGTTGTTTAGCGGGCCCGGGCTGGATTTGAACCTGCCACCTTAGGTGTATGTGGCTGGCGCCTTAGCCACTTGAGCCACAGGAGCTGAGCCGCCAAACTCTATCTCCACCAAAAAAAAGAAAGAAAGAAAGAAATGAAAAGAAAAATTAGCTGGGTGTGGTAGTGGCACCTTTAGTCCCAGCTAGGTGGGAGGCTAAAGTGGGAGGATTGTTTGAGGTTGCTGTGTACTATGAGGGCCACTGCACTCTAACCTGGGGCAAGAGAGGATCCATCTCAAAAAAAGATTCTCAAGTGAGAAAAAAAAGAGCCAACAGGACACACATATGTACAACATTCCAGCTAAGAGTTTTTTTTCTTTCCTACTAAAGAATGCAATTCTATTCCTCTATTCTGATTCCCCTTGTTATGGAAAAACTGCAAATGAACCAACCATACAATCACCACATTTTGCTATCATTCACTTATTTACCAACTGCATTTTGAGCCAAGTAGGGTTATAGAAACACCTACTATACCAGTGGTTCTCAACCTTCCTAATGCCGTGACCCTTTAATATAGTTCCTGTGGGTTGCGACCCACAGGTTGAGAACCGCTGTATTATATAATATGTATGTAACAGAATCCAACTGGTACCCTCTAAATCTATTAAAACAAAATACCCGGTACAGCAAAATAAACTCTACCTTTAAATATCCTTCTGGAGTGCCTGGGTCTAGATATCAGCACAATGAAATATGGATAAAATGGGGCTATAATATTGTTCTATCCTCACTGAGTGGGGAAACTCACTACTCAGCTCTCCAGTATTAACACATCCATCTCAAACTTTCAAAACCTTTCTCTGGTTAGAATGTTATAATGCTTCATATAGATTTAACCATAAATCTTTCCCACAACCAGAACTAGCTAAACTTGAGTCCAGAGTTCAGACTCTTCCCCACTGTTCACAGGTGTGATCCCATGTGGATGGACCAGAATAATTCATTTATCTAACTTCAAAACAGAGCAATCCTTTTATTAGGATTTCAACTTTTTTTTTTAAAGTAGTTTTTCCTTCAAACCACATTTCTGAGATTCTAAAGTCTTCATATTTTTGGCCAGAAGATCAATTTATTTCCTATGTCAAGTGCATTTTCCTCTCCTCAAAAAATGGAAGAACTAATATCCTGTGCCTTTTTGTCTTAATGTAAGTAATTGAGCTGCTTTATAAAGCAATCAGCAGATAAAACACCAGTGTTTACAGAGGTGCAGAGTGGGAAAGCCAAACACACCCCATGCAAAAGTGACAGATTCCTACAACTGCTTTCCAAACTCAGCCATGAAGCATATGCAGACACACTAGTTCTCGTTTTCACTAGACTGCTCTTCTAGGCATGTTTCCCTTAATGCTGTTCCCATATGCTCTTCCGAACGGGGCAGTATGAGATGTTCCACAATGATCTATGTCTCAAAGGTGTTCTTTCCCTAACTATTCAGACATTCATTCACTCCTTCCCCTCTGCCACTTCTCATTCCCAGGATCTATTCTGGCTCCTTACTATGTTTCCTAGGATACCACAATTTTTTTTTTTTTTTGAAGACAGAGTCTCAAGCTGTCACTCTGAGTAGGGTGCCATTGTGTCACAGCTCACAGCAACCTCAAACTCTTGGGCTTAAGCAATTCTCTTCCCAAAGCCTCCCAAATAGCTGGGACTACAAGTGCCCACCACAACGCCTGGCTTTTTTATTGTTGTTGTTGCAATTGTCATTATTGTTTTAGATGGCCCAGGCAGGGTTTGAACCCACCAGCCTCGGTGTATGTGGCCAGCCCCCTACCCATTGAGCTATGGGCACTGCCCAACACAATTTTTGATAAAACTGTATGGCCCTTCCATCTCTGAGGTTTGGATGTTGACCCCTACAAATCTCAAGTTGAAATTTGATCCCCAGTGTTGAATACGGGGCCTGGTGGGAGATGTTTTAGATCAAGTGGGTGGATTCTTCATGAATGGCTGGGTGCCCTCCCTGGGATAAAGAATGAGTTCTCACTTTGTTACTTCATAACAATAGCTGGTTGTTTAAAAGAGCCTGGCACCATCTCTTTTGGCTCCTCTTGCTAAGTGACACACCTGCTCCCCTTTCACCTTCTGCCTTGACCGAAAATTTCCTGAAGCCCTCACCAGAAGCAGATGCTAGCCCAATGCTTCGTGTGCAGTCTACAGAACCACGAGCTGAATAATCTTTATAAATTACTCAGCCTCAGGCATTTCTTTACAGTGGAACAAAACAGACTGAGACAATCTCTGACAGTATTATATTTCTCCATAAAATGAGAGTATTTCTAAAATATTCCTATACCATTTGATCCTGTAATTTCATTTCTAAAAATATATGCTAAAGAAAATAAGGTACAAGAAATATATATATTTTTGTATACAAAAGTTTTTCACGGGTTTTTTTTTTAAAAGAGGAGGGGAAAGCCATCAAAATAAGCTAAATATCCAAAATAAGACCAGTTAAAATTTTTTTTAAAGATTTGAACCAGTCAGGCATATTAGCTGTCGCCTGTAATTGTAGCACTCTGAGATGCCAAGGTGGGAGGATCCCTTGAGCTCAGAAGTTCCTCACCTGTGCAAGAGTGAGATCCCAACTCAACTAAAAATAGAAAAATTAGCTGGGTGTTATGGCATGTGCCTGTAGTCCCAGCTACTTGGAAGGCTGGGAATTTTGTCTGAAGGTATTCTATTCCTTGGGCCACCTCCCTTCAAAGGACAGAAAGACCATATTCCAAGATTAGGATCCTGACACTTTATAAAAGATTATAACCACTTTTAGGCAGAACAATGCCCCCCCAAGGTGTCTATGTCCCAATTTCCCCCAAACCTGTGACTGTTATCTTACATGAAAAAAAAAGGATTTGCAGATATTATTAAATTAAGGATCTTGAGATAGATGTTAGTGGGGTGGGTTCAAGGTAATCACAAGGGTCTTCATAAAAGGGCTCAAGGGCCAGAGAGCAGGAGGGCCAAAGTCAGGAAGGGGGAGGTGGAAGGAGACAGGAGAGAAGAGATACAACACTAGTGGTTTTGAAGATGGAGAAAAGCAAGGAAACAGACTCTGCTCTAAAGCGTCCAGAAGTAATGCACCCCTGCAGACACCTTGATTCAGGACTTCTGACCTCTAGAACTGTAAGAGAGTAAGTTCATATTACTTAAGTCATTAACTGGTAATCTGTTACAGCAGCAATGGGAAACTGATACACCCCATGCTACATGACCGTTTGATCTCTAAAACACCTGGATTCATCTTTAATCACTAACACAGGAAAACTGCTTTCCAGACTTTGCTAGAGAACCCAGCTTCAGTTTGAGGCCCAAATCTTCACTGGAATCAAGACGAATGAAGTGCTGCTTGTGGGGCACTGGTATATATGGGCACGCAGCCTTCCCTACTAGTCCTCCAAATATCCAAGTGAGTTGGATCAAGTAGACTAGAAAACTGCTCACTTGGACCCTACCTCCTCCCAAAATTATTTTCTCTGAGATGCATATCTCCCTTTAGCCAGTGATAGCAGAAAATCTGCAAAACGAGGACAACTGCCACTTCGTGGCTTCTTACTACATTGCAGCCACTGTCCTGGTGTTCTGCACACGCACTTTCAACTTCCACGACAGTCCTGCGCAGTGCTCGCCCGTCTCACAACTAACCCTAACTTTCACTCTCCTAGCAGCCTGTGCTTCCCGGGAAGGCTGTGAGGGTCGGAAGTCCGGGCAGAAGCTACAGCCATCCGGTACACCACACCTGAGGCCTCCCCACCCGCAGGCTCGCCTGAGCTGCTTTCCCCTTCCATGCCCCGGGCTCAAGCCTGAAACCTGGACGGCAGCGGAGTCCTTCCCGCGGCTCCCATAGTACTAGGCGACACGAAGGACACAGGCCCCGCACGACACCCCTACACCCTCAGTGACCCCCGGACTCGACTGTCATTGCGCACGGGCGACCTGCGAGGCCCGCGGACTCCGGGAAAATGTCAGTAGAGAGATGGTGACGGCCACGCGAGCCGAGGAAACCCGAGGAAACAGCGAGGGCAGCCCCGTTGTGACGACCTGACGGGCGCGCTGTCCCGCCCGAGCGCGCGGTCTCACCGGCCCGCCTCGCCGTCCGCGCCCGGATCCCCGCGCCACCGTCCGCCGGTCCTCAGCGCCATCGCTTTGCCGGTTGCGGCTGGTCGCCGCAGCTTCCCGGGAAAAGTTTGGCGCGCTCTCGCCCACTCTCGCGATAGCTCAGGGCGCCCGCCGTCCAATCAGCAGGCGGGCCCTGCCGTGGAGCTCCAATCTGAGTCCGCAGGAGAGGCGGCGCGGTAGGGACCGGGGAGAAGTTCCCGGCGGTGCAACGCTGGGTTTGGACCCAGTGGCGCAGCGGACCGCGACGGGACGGGAAATGTCAGGCAGTCCCAGGCTTGCGCCCAGATCTCCTGGCCGGACTCCAGGCGGGTCAGAGGTAGGGTCGGCGCCCCGGGCGGCAAGTCAAGGGGGAGGCGATGGCGCCCGCGGTGTCCAAGCTGCGGACCGAGGTCGGACTTGGGGGGCTCCCAAGGCGGGCGCTCGTCCAGTACCTGTTCCTCCTGCGGCTCTACCCGGTGCTCACGAAGGCAGCCACCAGGTAAGCAGGAAGAGGGGGCCGCCGAGAGAGGGAGAAAAAGGTAGGGAGGAGGAGAAGGAGGTCCCGGAGGAGATAGGGGAGAAGGAGGTTCCCAGAAAAGGAGAGCGTGAGACCAGGAGAGGGTCTCCAAGGGCAGAGGGGTGGGCCCGGCCTGTCGCCTCAAACCTGTGTGAGGTTTGAGTACCAAAACACTGTCCCCGCATTTCAAAATGACGCTGCAGCCCTCAAATTAACCTTTTGTTAACACTGGTCTGAGTCGTTGGCCCTAGAAGGCACAGCTTAGGCAATGTAAACACGAAACGAAAGACTGCAGCCTGTGCCCTGGCCAACACCAAGCATTTCTTGCTGCTATTTGGCTGTCCCTGATTTGGGGTACTTTGTATTGAGACATTTCGCTTCATGACGATTAATAAACATTGTGAGCCTGCCCCTTTTATGAGTCCAGCCTTTCCTAGACAAGCGTGGAGGGCCTCTGTGCAGTTGTGATCACAGAGCCAGCCTTGTAGTAAAGAACTAGACAAAAAGCACATAAACACAGGACATAGAAGTGTCAGGGTTTGCATGAGAGATGATGTTGCACCGGCCATGTGAATTGAGGGAGAAGTCTCCTCCTAGAGGCACCCAGCTGGTGCAGGGCTGGGAAGAAGTCTGTGTCTGCAGTATCAGAGCAGAGTGGTTTCAGGGCTCCCAGTGAAGTTCCTCAGAAGGCAGCTGTGGACCAAGTCTGGGAGGGGGGGAGACACTGGGCCTGTCTCTACCTTTTTGTCGAAATTTTTGTTGTGAGAATTGTAGGTTCCCATGCAGTTGTAGGAAGTGATACAGAGAGACCCCTTGTATCCCCTGTCCAGTTTCCCCTGTTGGTTTCATTTGGTAAACTATAGTGCAATCATGCAGCCAGGACATTGACCTGGACACAGTTCACAGGTAATATGCAGACTTTGCCCACTGTTTCCCGTGCTTGTGTGTCTGCATTTGGTTCTGTGCAGTTTTATCACATATACAAGGTTCACCAGCAATGTCAAAATACAGAAAAATGTCCTCATAAGGCTCCCCTCCTGTTGCCCTTTGAGAACCATACCTTTCTGTTCTCTGAGTGGTAATATTTGGCAAAACTGTAGTATAATGTCACAACCAGGATATTGACATTGATGAAATCTACCAATTGGAAATCTGCTGTACTCAACCTGTGTGTGTGTGAGTTCTCTTGTCTGCACCTGTATTACTAAGTGTTCCTCCACCCATCTGTGGTATGATCTAGGAACAGCCCTGCTACTTCACCAGCAGGAAAGGAACACACTCATGCTGGTTGATCGTGTTTTCTGATTACTCTTCTGTCCACAGTGGCATTTTGTCAGCACTTGGGAACTTCCTTGCCCAGATGATTGAGAAGAAGCAGAAAAAAGACAACTCTAAAAGTCTAGATGTCAGCGGGCTTCTCAGATATGCTGTTTATGGGTGAGTGTTGCACAGGGAGCTGGCTTACCCTGGAGCTGGGGGACCAAAACCACATTTTGGGAGTAAGCATTGATGTAATTATCACGGGGGAAAATAAATCAGAACAGTTTATATAGTTAGTGTGGTATGTATATACATATGTATAGTTTTATGGTTTTATTTTTAAATGCACTGGTCAGGGTGGCTGTCTTACTTGGGCTGAAAGGCAGACCCAACAGCTGATAACTCAGTTACACTTAAAGTCAGATTTTAAGACTCAAAGTCCCTGGAAACATCCTAGACTGGGCTCTAGAAGAGAAAAATTCACTCAGATATGGCTAGTTTCTCTTACTATTTACTCCCCCCCACCTTTTTTTTTTTAGACAGCCTCTTACTCTGTTGCCTAGGCATGACTACAGTGGTATCATAGCTCACTGCAACCTCAAACTCCTGGCTCAAGCAATCTTTCTGCTTCAGCTCCCTGAGTAGGTGAGGCTAGAGATATGTGCCACTATGCCCAGCTAATTTTTTTTTTTAACCCTTTGACTGCAGAGTCTCTGAAACAACATGCCCATAGGCATTGTTCACACCAAAGGAACATCTTGTTTGAACATCCCTAGGCGTTGTTTGCAATCAAAAGGTTAGTATAGAGCAGGGGTCCTCAAACTTTTTAAACAGGGGGCCAGTTCACTATCCCTCAGACGGTTGGAGGGCTGGACTTCGAGCCCTGGGACAAGTCGGCTGCTAAGCAGGACAGGCAACGGTGGCAAAAACACCCGGCAGGCCGGATAAATGTCCCAGGCAGGCTGCATGTGGCCTGCGGGCTGTAGTTTGAGGACACCTGCTATAGAGCAGTGGTTTTCAACCTTCTTAATGTTGTGACCCTTTAATAGAGTTCATGTGGGTTGCGACCCACAGGTTGAGAACTGCTGGTATAGAGGGGTGTCCAAAAAATATATACACATTTTTTTTTAGAGATAGAGTCTCACTTTGTTGCCCTTGGTAGAGTGCTGTGGTATCACAGCTCACAGCAACCTCCAGCTCTTGGGTTTAGGCGATTCTCTTGCCTCAGCCTCCCAAGTAGCTGGGACTACAGGTGCCCGCCACAACACCCAGCTAGTTTTTTGTTGCAGTTCAGCCGGAGCCGGGTTTGAACCCACCACCCTTGGTATATGGGACCCGCGGCCTATTCACTGAGCCACAGGTGCAGCCCAATAGGCATTTTGACAGGCGCCTGTAGTCCCAGCTACTTGGGAGGCTGAGAAGCAAGAGAATTGCTTAAGCCCAAGAGCTTGAGATTGCTGTGAACTGGGATACCACGGCACTCTACCAAGGGCGATATAGTGAGACTGTCTCAAAAAAAGAAAAAAGAGATACAATATAAAAGATAACAGTGCTCGCTTCGGCAGCACATATACTAAAATTGGAACGATACAGAGAAGATTAGCATGGCCCCTGCGCAAGGATGACAC